GAAGAAAAAAGGGAAAAAAGAGGGAGCTTTTTGTCATTTAGCTTTTGGGGGCTTTTTAGGTCCCTTCTGCTGTGTTTTTCAGTGTTTTTATGAGTGAGGGACATACATTGGGTTGTTAGGTGTATTGTGTCCAAATTTGGTGTCAATTCCCCCAGTGTTTTTTGAGTTATGTTAATCCCACAAATGAACATTACATTTTTATTTATATAGATTTGATATGTATTTCTGGTTGATTTGTGACCTTGCACCCACTTAAAGAATGCAGCAGCAGCTTGCAAGTGTGTCACTAGGGAGCTTGTTCACTCACCTTCATTTATTTCAGGCTAAGATAGCAATCTGCAATCTAAAGTCTTGATATTTTGAGTTAATATCTAAAACAAACATGGGAATTTTTGGAGATGGATGCAAAAAATTGTAATTGGGGGGATGTAAAACATTGTTTAAAAGAAGTAGCAGTGTGCCACTGCTGTACTCAGTATATTGCCTTTTTTTAAATAAACTTAAACTGTTTTGAAAACCTATTTTCAAAATGATGATTTCCTGGTATAGTGTAAGAAAAAGATATACTGAATGATAACAACTGCTGTCAGGAGGTCATCAAACCTCTAGTTTAATAGACTTTTTGATACATGATTTTCTGTTGCGAAAAAAGTAATCTTCCTTGTCTTTCCATGGGAAAGATCAGCCGGTGTATGGATTACAGCACTGCCAGTTGTAAATTGTGTGGTCATGCTTCATTGTATTTATACTCTTCTGAGGCTTGGAAGTAATCTCATGAGATACGGACAGCCAAGATTAAGATACAAGTTCAGTTACGGGCGAATTCAGAAACTGTATCCACTTGGAAATAGTTAGAAAAATAAAAATAAATTCCATGTGACCTTCAGTATATTCATGATCTGTTTAACTATCCGTGATGAGTGCTGTAAGATGCACATTTTTCAAGAATGTTGCTGCAGTCGTTTTGTAGAATAGCATTGTTTCCATGTATAGAGGATGTTAGAGACCCTAAATTGGGTCTTCTTAGGTCCACGTCGCGGGAGCACGAAAGGAAGGAGACAGTCCCAATGAAAGATCAAAAAACAAGGTTTTATTTTAGTTTCTTCATGAAGAAGACGGACAGCCTGACAGCATACGCAGATGCTATCCTTCAAGTGACTGTCGCGCCCTTCCCTTGAAATCTGCATATCTTTATACCCCAGTGCAAACAAAAAGGGAAAGTACCACTGCTTGACATCAACAATTTTAACCTTTAACAAAAGAAAACATTTTTTTTCATGGAAAGTACTCTCTTTCCACCCCCTCTCCCTTGACCTTTTGATGGAAAGTACCTTCTTGCACATGCATACTCAGCACTTTACTACAACCTTTGAAGTTAACCACAACACATCCTGTGTAAGAAAATACCTTCTTGTACCTCTACGTGTCACATCTTGTTTCTTAAAAACATTTTCTTCCGTATTGCTATTTTTCTACAGAGAAAGGGTATGTTTCTCTTTTGCTGTTAATTTCATTCAAAGCCCCTTGCTTAATTTCACTCAAAGACCCTTGAAGCCTCCTTCAAGGACATTCCTTGATTTGGAAAACATGCCTATACAGGCAGTCCCCGGATTACAAACAAGATTTGTTCTGTTGATTCGTTCAGAAGTTTAATTTGTATGCAAGTTGGAATAGGTGTAACTCCAGCCATTTTTTTCCATTTTGGAGAGCATAGGGAAGGCCTGCTATCTGTGCCTCTGTTCAGAACATTTCACCTCACCTTCATAGAATCATAGAGTTGGAAGAGACCACATGGGTCATCTAGTCCAACCCCTTTCTGCTGTGCAGGAAAAGCACAATGAAAGTATCCACAACAAATGGCCATCCAGGCTCTGTTTAAAAGCCTCCAAGGAAGAAGCTTCCACCAGACTCCCTGGCAGAGAGTTCCACTGTTGAACAGCATGTATTGTTGTAGTTCAGCCTGTGATTATGTCTGGGTTTATGTTGAGAGTGGGGGTGATGTTCCTGATGGTGGGCCTGGGTCTGTTGGCAATGGGGATGAGGGTTTGCCTGGGTCTGAGTTAAGCCCAGATGAGAGGCCTGACGTGTCTCATGAAGATTCACAAGGTCACATTCCTGGGAGAGGCTCTCAATAGTCTTTCTCTGAGAAACTGTCTTCTGAAGATAAATTGTCAGGTGCATAAGAGTGAAGATAGAAAGCAGATCTTTTGTAAACAGAGGCAAAGTCCTTCAGTCTTGTGACAGTTAGATTTTGGAAATGTTGGGTTGTCATGGGAAAAAGAATTGGTGAGAAAGCTTCAGTGGATACACCTTTTCACCATGATAACTCTTACAGGAGTGAATTTTCCTTCCTAGGGATAGATTTCTTCTCACTTCCTGTTGTCACCCCCAGCCTTGTTAAGTAGGAGTCATGTGTAAGTTGGATGTTTGTAACTCAGGGACTTCCTGTATCTCAGTGAGTCAAGTCACAGCATGTATAGTTAAAAAAAAACAAAACCTAAGTGTCTTGTTGAATCCTTTTTTATAATAACTTTCATATTTGTTGCTATTATTATTATTATTATTATCAGCATCATCAGCATCATTATTGCAAAGGCTGGGTGATCATCTGATGGAGGTGATTTGATTGTGCTTTTCCTGCATGACAGAAAGAGGTTGGACTGGATGGCCCCCGGGGTTGCTCCCACAAATAGGCTTTTTGGAGTGTACATCATTAAGATGAAATGAGTGGCTAGTGAATGGAGGACAACAGTGGGAGGACATTTATGATTTATTTACTTACCACATTTATACACCGCCCCTATCAGCCCAGAGGCGACTTGGAGCGGTTCACAATTGGCAACAATGTTATGCCTCAACAATTATTACAAGTAAAACAATAATAAAATACTGTTAAAAACATTAGCATACAATATAAGAATATAAAAAGCCTTAAAAACATTATCGTGAGCATCTCCATGTCAAGGCATTGTTCAATTGCGTTGTCAAGTGCTTACATGATTTCGTATAACTATGCCGCATTTGGGAAGGCCTGCTCAAAAAGCCAGGTTTTCACCTTTCTTGGAAAAGTCAGGAGGGAGGGGGCTGATCTTATATCCCTAGACAAGGCATTCCACAGTTGAGGGACCACCACTGAGAAGGCTCTGTCTCTCGTCCCCGCCAAACGCATCTGTGAGGAAGACAGGACTGAGAGCAGGGCCTCCCCAGAAGATCTTAATGTCCTAGATGGTTCATAAGGGGAGATATGTTCAGATAGGTAAGTTGGACCGAAACCGTGACAAATTCCCAGGTTTTCCCAATGCAAAAGACTTTAAGGAGTTCATGGCTACCCTAGATTTTTCTAGATATCATAAGTAAGTAGTATATTATTTATATAAAAATGTCATGTTCGTTTGTGGGATTAACAGAACTCGAGAACTGGTGGGCGAATTGACACAAAATTTGGACACAAGACACCATTCAAAGCAATCTATGTCCTTCACTCAAAAAATTTCTCCCAAGAAACAATAAGACCTTTAATTTTTTTTAAAAGGAAAAAGAGCACACAGCGCATGCGTGCAAACCCATCCTCTTCCTCCCCCCATCGCCGCGCGGGCACACCAGCACGAGAGGCACCAACAGCCATCCTCCCTCACTGCTGGATCAGTGCAAGATGCAAGGGAGGCTAGGAGCACCGAGGAGGCCACCTTACCTCACCTTCCCCTTCTGTTCAATTGTCAGTTGTGGAGCTCAGCATGCTCACTGATTGAAGGTGAACTAAAAATCCCTAATCTCAAGCATCAGCCTAAGCAGCAGACGCGGAGGTAGAGAGGCCTCCTCCTGCACCTCCTGCCTTGCTCAAGACCTGCAGAACAGCCCCAGGGCCGCCTTGAGCCAGGGAGCAGGAGTAGGAGGAGGTCTTTCCGTCTCCGCTGCTGTGCTCCTGGTGTGCGGCGATGGCTGCCGTAGCGACTGTGCCTGGCTGAAGCCTGGCCCGCCTTACCCAAGTACAGTCGCTGACAGAGAGACCTGGGCTGCATCCTCCTCTTGCCTCTCCTCCCCCTTCCCCCTAGCTCAAGGCCTGGCAATGCTGGGAGGATGCTCCCCTGGTTCTTGACCCAGGGAGGTCCACCCCCCCTTCCCCGCAGGCTGCAAGATACACACAGTGCCGAAAATAGCACAAAAAGGCAGCGTGTGAGGAGGTGAGGAGGGAGAACGAACCCTGCCCCCTGGCAGCTGAGTTCTGACTGCTGTTTGATTGAAGGTAAACTATAAATCCAAGGAAATCCCAGATGTCTCCTCTTCCTCCTCCTCCTCTTCTTCTTAATCAGAAGCTGAATGGCCATCTATCAGGAGTGCTTTGATTGTTTTTCCTTTATAGCATAAAGGGCTGTACTGAATGTCCCTTGGAAGTCCCTTCTTACTCTAGAATTCTATTATTATTATTATTATTATTATTATTATTATTATTATTATTATTAAGCAGAGGGTGAATGTCCATCTGTCAGGAGTGCTTTGATTTTGGGGCAAGATTGGATGGCCCTTGGAGGTCTCTTCCTACCCTAGGATTCTATTATTACTAATATTATTATTACTGTTGTTATAATTATTAAGCTGACTTTCTCATTACTTAATTTTCCATACCACCAAACTGTGCCACCTATCAGGCCAACAAGTGACCATCACTCATAAAAACAATGAAAACACAGCAGAAGAGACTTTAAAAGCCAAAAATAAAAAATTACAATACAACGCATGTGCAAAACCACATATATACAGAAATATATACACACATATATACAAACACAATACACATATACACAGACTGAGCCACAGCAACGCATGGCAGGGGACAGCTAGTATGAATGATAAAAGGTGACTTTGCCCAGTGCAGTGACAGTGTGAGTAAGCTCTCAAATAATTTGTCATGTTCCATTTTTGGATTGCTGTTGCCTTTTCAGGATTTGGGACCATTTTGGTTTTGGCACCATCTTAATTCTTTTTTCCTTTCCTTCTGTTAGGCAACGGTGAGCTGAGTAACAAGGAGTTTGTCGCCATTATGAAGCAGAGGCTTATGAGGGGCTTGGAAAAGCCAAAAGACATGGGATTTACTCGGCTGATGAGAGCCATGTGGAAATGTGCGCAGGAGACTGCTTGGGATTTTGCCATGCCCAAACAATAACCCCAAGCAGCCAGAGTTGGAAACCTGGCTGCAACACTAAGGCGGAGGATTATACGCTCTGCTGCGTTTGTGCCACCTGATCAACGGCCATCGTGTTAGAAGCTCCAGGAATAATGAAGGCCTTCTGTGACAGAATGACCAGATTCCACTGCTGCACTGGAAAAAAATCAACCTTGGAAGGCAAAGACTGTTAATGACTGCAATTTTTCCTTCAAAAATTCCTAAGCGGAAACTTGAGTGCGTTGTCAAATAGCTTTCTATCTTAATAACTGCCTTCGCTGTACACATACACAATCTATTTCTTTGTCTTCTCTTAGGTTTTTACTTTATATATCTCAGGAAGCAAATCGTCAGTAATTAGCTTTGAATATCGCAGCGGCTGCTTCCTTCTCTGAAAATAAAATGTTTGAGCATGGATACTACAAAAGAACAGTATTGCTTGTATCTGTAGTAACTGATATTTTGAGCATTGTAGGAGTGATAATGCTTGAGGTTGTCACTCCTGCCCTATCCTTGATGTTTCTTAGAATTTTTTAAAAGGGGGATTTAAGGGGGACCAAAGCCAGTGGTGATTTTTTCCATGTTAAATATCAAAACATCAGTTATTCTTTAAGCTACCCATAAATTTCAAGGCAAAATATGACCAAGGACTGTGTGATACGAGAAACCTATTTCTGCTTGGATTTTTGACTTGTACTTGCAACCCAATCTGTATGCTGTTACCTGTAATTTTTCCCCTTAATGAGCTCTTTATGATGTGTTCTTTCATACAGCCTCGAAACTGAACTTTACAGAGCACTTGAATGCTTGTCAAATATAATTTTAATTATAATGGTTCCCAGCCAGACACCTGAACACCTATGTCATTTCTTTCTTTCTTTTTTGGGAAGCCTCGTGAATTTAAACAGGCATACATTTTTCCCAGCAGCGAGTCCATAAAATGAGGCTGTCTTGCTGCCAGATAGAAAAAGGGAGGAAGCAGCAAGTTGAGTCAGTTGACAGCACTCTGTTACAGAAAGAGTGGAGAGCACTGTGAGTTTGCTTTTAAATGTGAGGAACTGTTGCACCTCAGAATAGATTCACCTTGCTAAAATCACCATAACTGCACACAAACTGAAGTTTCTGTAGTTTATTAAAAAGTAAATGATGAAAAAAAGCAAATAGTGTTCCAAAGATCAATAAAACATAGCACTGAAAAGCCGAATTCCAAATGGCACCAACGAAGCAAAGTCCCAGGAGAACATGACAAAATCCCAAGACCATCGACACAGGAAAACGAGCACAAGCTGCTTGGTTGAACAAGAAGTTGCTCTGACAAAGGTTTGTTTTCAAACACACTGCTTAATACCCTTTGCAATACATGAAAGCATTTCTTTGGCCTCTGACCTCCTTCTTGTTGGCTATTCTCACACTCCTTTGAACTCTGAATTCCAAACAGTCAGCACGATCTAAGATTCCGGTTTCATCAAGGTCAGGCTGCTCGATAGTGTCAGCCTGGTTGCCTCCTGCCTACTATCAGGCTGAGAACCGTCCTCCTTTGCTGAGTCAATTTGCACCTGGCTAGTTTCAGTACCAAAAACATCATTCCCTACTGTGGGAAACTGAACTTGCACACCCTGTTCCTCATTGTCTACAACAGGAGCATTTTGAACCCGATTGTGAACCTGAATCCCATCATCCTCGTCAGAGTCACTCTGAGACCCCATCTGAGTCACAACACTATCAATCTGTGTCTGTGGTTCCAGCTGAGTCACAACAGGAACCCCAAAATAGCAAAGCCCAAACCCTTATTTCTTCCTTTAATCTGTGTCACCTCTTATCAAAACTGGCACAAGTAAGCATCTCGTCAGAACTACTGTTAGATTTTGTAGTGAAGTTTGTGGCGTAAAGATTATTGGAAAAAATTAATAAGGAAGTGGTCTGCAAACACTTAGAAACAAATGCAGTCATCGCTAATAGTCAATATGGATTTATCAAAAACAAGTCATGCCAGACTAATCTGATCTCTTTTTTCGATAGAGTTACAAGCTGGGTAAATGCAGGGAATGCCGTGGATGTAGCGTACCTGGATTTCAGTAAGGCCTTCAACAAGGTCCCCCATGACCTTCTGGCAAGGAAACTAGTCCAATGTGGGCTAGGCAAAACTACGGTGAGGTGGATCTGTAATTGGTTAAATGGATGATTCTCACCAATGCTTCCTCTTCATCCTGGAAAGAAGTGACGAGCGGAGTGCCGCAGGGTTCCGTCCTGGGCCCGGTCCTGTTCAACATCTTTATTAATGACTTAGATGAAGGATTAGAAGGCATGATCATCAAGTTTGCAGACACCAAATTGGGAGGGATAGCCAATACTCCAGAGGACAGGAGCAGGATTCAAAACGATCTTGACAGATTAGAGAGATGGGCCAAAACTAACAAAATGAAGTTCAACAGGGACAAATGCAAGATACTCCACTTAGGCAGAAAAAACGAAATGCAAAGATACAGAATGGGGGACAATGCCTGGCTTGAGAGCAGTACGTGTGAAAAAGATCCTGGAGTCCTTGTGGACAAGTTAAACATGAGCCAACAATGTGATGTGGCGGCAAAAAAAGCCAATGGGATTTTGGCCTGCATCAATAGGAGCATAGTGTCTAGATCTAGGGAAGTAATGCTACCCCTCTATTCCGCTTTGGTTAGACCACACCTGGAATATTGTGTCCAATTCTGGGCACCACAATTCAAGAGAGATATTGACAAGCTGAAATGTGTCCAGAGGAGGGCGACTCAAAGGATCAAGGGTCTGGAGAACAAGCCCTATGAGGAGCGGCTTAAGGAGCTGGGCATGTTTAGCCTGAAGAAGAGAAGGCTGAGAGGAGATATGATAGCCACGTATAAATATGTGAGAGGAAGCCACAGGGAGGAGGGAGCAAGCTTGTTTTCTGCTTCCTTGGAGACTAGGACGCGGAACAATGGCTTCAAACTACAAGAGAGGAGATTCCATCTGAACATGAGGAAGAACTTCCTGACTGTGAGAGCCATTCAGCAGTGGAACTCTCTGCCCCAGTGTGGTGGAGGCTCCTTCTTTGGAGGTTTTTAAACAGAGGCTAGATGGCCATCTGTCAGGGGTGCTTTGAATGCAATATTCCTGCTTCTTGGCAGGGGGTTGGACTGGATGGCCCATGAGGTCTCTTCCAACTCTTTGATTCTATGATTCTATGATTCTAATGTAAAATAAACCACGTGTAGTTCACATTCGATCAGCCCACACACTGCCTTGCCAGAGAAAGAAAATAATGCCATGTAGGTGAACAGTAAAGAACAAGTAGTTTACTCTTCACAGTTCAGAACAACATACATAGAGTGTGATCTGAGGATGCTTGCCACAGATGCAGGCGAAACGTCAGGAGGGAATGCTTCTAGAACATGGACATATAGCCCGAAAAACCTACAACAATCCAGTGATTCCAGCCATGAAAGCCTTCAACAATAAAAAGAAGCATTTTTATCAAGAAAGAATGCACTGCAGCCCAACAGGAAAAAGAAAGGTGTGGGTTGCTGTTCTCACTAAGCAAAGAGTAGAAAAGGATGACACTCTGCATTGCAGAAAAAAATTCACAAACCCATGCTTTCACTTTAAAATGCTGAGAAGATCTGTCTGCCTTTGTTGTCTGCATCTTTGCTAGTGTATGCATCCTCTCTTAAGCATGTTTCTTTCTGTCTTCCATTCTGTACTGATTTAGAGTATGGAAAATAACTTTTTTGAACTATGATTCCCAATAGACATGCTAGCTGAGGCGTTCTAGGAGCTAGCATTTCCAAACCCTACCCTGATTCCTGTTTGTGTGCCAAGGGAGCAGTGACAAGTGGTACAGCTGTGTCACTGTTAGTGACAGGACTGTGAGAAGTTCACTGTAGCAACGGGATGTGGGGAGATGCTTTCTGCATGTGGAGCAGACTGGAACAGCCGCTGTCCATATGCTTTTGTTTCTGCAAAGCTGTGAGCCTGCAGAGGGCTGCAGAAGGCATTCGAGAAATGATAATAATATTTTATTTTTATTTTTTTTACTAATAATATAATATAGTATATTGTATGTACATATAATATTTATATCATAATGTAATACAATTTTTTTGTCATGTCAGGAGCAACTTGAGAAACTGCAAGTTGCTTCTGGTGTGAGATAATTGGCCATCTGCAAGGACGTTGCCCAGGGGACGCCCGGATGATTTGATGTTTTTAATCATCTCTCATGACCCCGCATGAGGAGCTGGAGCTGATAGAGGGAGCTCATCCGCCTCTCCCCAGATTCGAACCTGCGACCTGTCGGTCTTCAGTCCTGCCGGCACAGGGGTTTAACCCACTGCGCCACCAGGGCTCCTATGTAATACAGTATAATGCTAGCAATAATAATACAATATTATAATTATAATTACCGTATATACTCGAGTACAAGCCGACTTGAATATAAGCCGAGGCACCAAATTTTACCACAAAAACTGGGAAAACGTATTGACTCGAGTATAAGCCGAGGGTAGGAAATGCAGCAGCTACTGGTAGATTTGAAAATAAAAATAGATACAATACAATTACATTAATTGAGGCATCAGTAGGTTAAATGTTATGAATATTTACATAAAACTATAATTTAAGGTAAGACTGTGGAACTCTGATTAAACCATTATTCTAACCTTCTTCAATGTAAATGTGCTTGCATATTCTTCCAATAAAAATAGAGTAAAATAATAAATGTATTGTTGAAGGCTTTCATGTCCGGAATCACTGAGCTGCTGTAGGTTTTTTTGGGCTATATGGCCACGTTCTAGAGGCATTTCTCCTGACATTTCGCCCGCATCCACAACATACAAACTATCTAGAGGCCCACCAAGAAAATGCAACAAATGCTACGTTCAGCAAAGGACAAAAGGGATCCTCTCGCTTCTTCAGGAGTCTACCGTATACCATGCAGCTGTGGATAAGTCTACATAGGGACCACCAAACACAGCATTGCCCAAACACGAATCAAGGAACTGCAGACTACTTCAACCAGAGAAGTCAGCCATAGCAGAGCACCTGATGAACCAACCTGGACATAACATATTATTTGAGAACACTCTAATCACCTCTCAACAAAAGATTACTCCAGGCGCTGCCAGGCAATCAAATGCTAATCAAGGTGGTCACTTGAAACATTCACACCTAGCTCCAGAAGACAAAAGTCCTTTGTCCCACCCAGATCATTCCACAGATATATAAACCCATTTTCCTAGTTCCAACAGACCACACTACCTCTGAGGATGCTTGCCATGGATGCGGGTGAAACGTCAGGAGAAATGCCTCTAGAACATGGCCATATAGCCCGAAAAAACCTACAGCAGCCCAAAATAATAAATGTAATAATACTACTAATAATAATAGAGTAAAATAATGGAAATGTAATAATAACAGTAATAATAGAGTAAAATAATAAATATAATAAAAACAATAATAAAGTAGAATGAGCAATGTAACAACAACAACAATAACAATACATTTATTATGTTTTTCTAACATGGTAAAATAATAAATAACCTTGACTCAAATATAAGCCAAGCGGGACTTTTTCACCCTAAAAAAAGGGCTGAAAAACTAGGTTTATACTCGAGTATATACAGTATATATTTACATTACATGTAAAATCTATATAAATAAAATGTAATGTTCGTTTGTGGTATTCACAGAACTCAAAAACCACTGGACGAACTGACATCAAATTTGGACACAATACACCTAACAGTCCAATGTATGTCCTTCACTCAAAAAAAAAATGATTTTCTCATTTGGGAGTTGTAGTTTCTGGGATTTGTCATTTATGTACAATCAAAAAGCATTCTGAA